TTTTTGGGATAGATTTAATTGAAAAATTCGGATATTGGGACACACCCATTCGTTCGGTTTGCAATGTAATTACAAGCAATATGAATAAAGATGCGATATTCAAAGTCATTCTAAGTAAATATCCAGAAGTGGTCCAACAGCATACAGGCCACTGCACCAAATTTAAAGTCAACTTAGAAATAAAACAAAATTGTAAACCCGTGTTCAAAACGAAAAGACCCGTACCATATGCATCATTAGCAGCGGTAGAGCAAGAGCTAAACAGACTACAAGATGAAAATATCATCACACCTATTACACAGTCAGATTGGGCAGCACCCATAGTAGTTGTACGTAAGCCAAATAATCGCATTCGAATTTGTGCTGATTATTCGACAGGTTTAAACGATTGCATGGTACCTAATCTGTATCCAATTCCGCATGCAGATGATATATTCGCACAAATGTCGCTTTGCAAATATTTTAGCAAAATAGATTTATCCGACGCTTACCTTCAATTGGAAGTCGATGACGAATCCAAGAAAATTCTCACGATAAACACGCACAGAGGTATTTTTACATTTAATCGGTTACCACCAGGACTAACCTCTGCACCAGGTGCTTTTCAAAAAGCTATGGAAACTATCCTCAGCAATTTAGAGGGAGTTATAACATATCTGGATGACGTGATCATAGCTACACCTTCAATACAAGAAAATTACAAAATGGTTATGAACGTAATGGAAAGGTTCAAAGAGCACAGTCTCACGATAAACTGGTCAAAATGTGAAATTTTCAAAACGTCAATAAAATACCTGGGACACGTCATTGATGAAAAAGGTATACATCCAGATGCATCCAAAGTGGAAGCAATCAACCACATGCCGAGACCTACAAATGTAAGCGAACTCAGATCCTTTTTGGGAGCGATAAACTACTACGGCAAGTTCATAAACCGTATGAGAAATATTCGATATCCACTTGATGAGTTATTGAAAGCAAATAAAAATTGGAAATGGACGTCGGAATGTGAGAAGTCATTTAACGATTTCAAACAAATATTGCAATCGGATCTTGTGTTGACACATTATAATCCTTCACTTCCTATATCCGTAGCAGCAGATGCATGCATTGTTGGTATAGGAGCACAAATTTTTCATACTCTGCCAGATGGAACAAAAAAAAAGTCGTATATCACATCTCAAGAGCACTTACTTCGACAGAGAAGCGGTATAGCCAAATAGAGAAAGAAGCGTTAGCACTCGTATATGCATGCACAAAATTTCACAAAATGATATACGGACGTAAATTCACGCTATTAACGGACCATAAACCACTGCTTACGATTTTTGGTTCCAAGAAAGGCATCCCAACGCACACCGCCAACAGATTACAAAGGTGGGCATTAATTTTAATGAGCTACGATTTTCAAATTCAGTATGTCAAGACCACAGAATTTGGAAATGTTGATGTTCTATCACGGCTTATAAGTCAACAAAGACAACAAGATGAAGAATTCATCATAGCCAAAATTTTTGTTGAAAACGAAATAAAAACTATCCTTCAAGATAATATAAAAACGTTACCAGTTACACTTGCGATGATAAAACAGGCCACGAAAAAACGATAACACACTTAGCAAAATCATCGAACGCGTTAAGGAAGGATGGCCAAAATCATCAAAGCAGCTTGCGGCGGACGAAGAACTATTTTTCAACCGAAAGGACTCATTGTCAGTCGTTGACAATTGTGTCATGTATTCAGATCGAGTGGTAATTCCTGAGATTTTTCGAAAGCGGATCCTCAAGCAGCTACATAGAGGACATCAAGGTAGCGAACGTATGAAAGCGATTGCGCGATCGTACGCTTACTGGCCAAGGATCGACGCGGATATAGTTGCGTTTGTGAAACAATGTCAAAGTTGTGCGTTAAACGCAAAATCTCCGACAAAAGCCAAACTAAGCTCATGGCCAATCACGAAGAGTCCATTAGAGCGAGTACACATTGACATCGCGGGTCCTATTCGAGATAAGTACTATTTAGTTATGGTAGATGCGTACTCAAAATGGCCAGAAGTAGTGCAAACAACGACAATTTCAACAAATGAAATCATCAATCATTTGCACGAGTTCATCAGTAGGTATGGACAGCCGAGAACTTTAGTTTCGGACAACGGTACGCAGTTCACAAGCTCGCAATTTGCTCAATTCTGCAAAGAAAGGGGAATACAACACATCTTCACACCACCATATCACCCCCAATCGAATGGCCAAGCAGAGCGTTTTGTGGACACCATTAAAAGAGCATTGGCAAAAGCGTTTTCCGAAAAGTCACCGAACGACAGATACAACCTACTTGTTTTTCTTTCGCAGTATCGTGCCACGCCAAATCCAAGTGCACCGGACAGTCATGCGCCATCCGAATTGTTCATCGGAAGAAAGATCTCAACTCCGTTAGACCTACTAAAGTCACACGTTGTATCTCATGAGAAAAATACAGTAATGGAGAGCGCCTTCAATAATAAACATGGGGCAGCTCAAAGAAGTTTTAAGGCGGGGGACCAAGTGTTTGCAAAGGTATTTCACAACAACAAATGGTCGTGGTACCCAGGCACTGTTATCGAAAAAGTCGGCAGGGTCGTATACAACGTTCTCGTAAAATCCAGGAAGCGAAATGAACTTCAGCGGTCACATGCAAACCAACTGCGAAACCGATTTTGCGAAGATGAAACGAGTGATACCGAAAATAGCCAAGACTTTACTCCAGCGACTGTCGAATCAGATCCTGTTCCGGTACTACGCCGTTCTACAAGGCAACGCAGGCTTCCCAGACGTTACCTCTAAAAACGAAGGGGGATGTTGGCAGCATATCATGCACTAATGGCAACCCTAAACGCGCAATGTCACCAATGGCATTTCTTTACATTGACATTCCGAGAATTATCACCATCGTAGACGGCCGCGTTGTAAGGAGCACGATCTTGTATACTTATAAATTTTATAGTTAATAGTTAACTTCCATATGTAAATATCTATCTACTTTCTCCGTTAATAAATAGTGTTAAGAGCAATACCTAAGTCTCTTGCGTGCTTTTACTTTAACACTCGAATATCAAGGTAAAAAGCATAACAGTGTGGCGACGAGGATGTCGGCGGCGCGCAATAATTAAAAAAAAAAAAAAAAAAGACTGACGGTGGTTGCATTTTCTCGGAAGCACTAGCGCTCCATCGACCTTCAAATGTTGCGTTGAAGGGCAAAATCAAAACCAGCGGTATTTTTGTTCATCGGTATTTGCGCATCACATACGGTTAGTCACACAAATACAGCAGCGCAACACAAAATAAGTAGCGGTATTGCAAACACAGCCCAGGCGAGTACATCGAACGGGTTACCGGTAGCTGTGCACTCAGATAGCAGCAACAGCAACGAGTGAACAACAAGAATACCAGACAAGTAGCATAGGCGCAAAGTTAGTTTGGCGCATATTTTTAGCAAAGAGTTTTTGCATCGCCCGACGACACGTAATGGCATTGGACAGCGTAGTGGCAAAGTTGTTGGTCCAACAACAGGAAGCATCAGAACGGCAGCAGCGGTTAATTGAAACGCTGGCGAGTTTAATACAGAACAACAAAGGGGGTAGTAGTTTGCAGCAACAACAGCAGCCAGAGGCATTAGCAGACATCATTTCTCGCGGTATTCATGAGTTCATTTATGACCCAGATAATAACCAAATTTTCTCAAATTGGTTCAGCAGGTACGAACAGCATTTTACGGAAGATGCGAAATCATTGGACGACGCCTGCAAAGTTAGACTTCTCTTAAGAAAATTGAGCCCGCAAGTTTACGAACAATACGCAAATTGTATTTTACCGAAGCTACCTAAAGACTGCGATTTCCAAAATACAGTTCGGCAATTGAAAAAACTTTTTGATCGTCAAGAGTCAATATTCAGTGTGCGTTATAAATGTTTACAAATCACCAAAGAAGAGTCCGAAGATTATACCGCATACTCAGGTCGAGTAAACAGTCAGTGCGAAAAATTTTTCCAAGGCAAAATGTCTTCTGCGGAATTAAAAGTGCTTATATTTATATGTGGACTTCGATCACCGGCATATAACGACATTCGGGGAAAATTGCTTTCAATGCTAGATACAAATGTAGATACCACATTGGAGCAATTGACATCAGCAGCGCAAAGACAAATTGTTTTGCGTGACGATACAAAGCTTGTTGAAACCACAAATCCTTCGACGGTGAATGCGATTTCTGCAGATGGTAAGTCAGAATTTCGTTCAAGTAAACAAAAGCTAAAAAGCCATACCAAACCAACCAATCAAGTAGGCGAAGTACCAAAACGTCCATGTTGGCAATGCGGAGCCATGCATTTTGTTAAATATTGCACGTACTCACAACACAAGTGTAAAGATTGTGACAAAATTGGGCATAAAGAAGGTTATTGTAGTTGTTTCTCTAAACGAGCAAGTACCTTAAACTCAGGTCAACGTAAAATTAATCGAAATACGCAAAGAAAATTTCAGCAACGTAGAAATTTTAGAACGAAAGTTGTTGTAGCCAAGCACAGTGTGAAGGTCGTAAATTCGTGTCAAATCAAGCTACAATTCGACACAGCCGCAGATATCTCTCTGATTTCAAAAAATTAATTGGGCGAAGCTAGGTAAACCAGCATTACATACGTGTGAGCATAAAGCATCAGATGCATCGAAGAACCAAATCCCTCTTATGGGGCAATTCGAAGCAATAGTAACTCATAAAAAACACATCGCATAGCTGTATAATTTACGTCACAAGCCTCCCAAACTTAAACATTTTTTGGGATAGATTTAATTGAAAAATTCGGATATTGGGACACACCCATTCGTTCGGTTTGCAATGTAATTACAAGCAATATGAATAAAGATGCGATATTCAAAGTCATTCTAAGTAAATATCCAGAAGTGGTCCAACAGCATACAGGCCACTGCACCAAATTTAAAGTCAACTTAGAAATAAAACAAAATTGTAAACCCGTGTTCAAAACGAAAAGACCCGTACCATATGCATCATTAGCAGCGGTAGAGCAAGAGCTAAACAGACTACAAGATGAAAATATCATCACACCTATTACACAGTCAGATTGGGCAGCACCCATAGTAGTTGTACGTAAGCCAAATAATCGCATTCGAATTTGTGCTGATTATTCGACAGGTTTAAACGATTGCATGGTACCTAATCTGTATCCAATTCCGCATGCAGATGATATATTCGCACAAATGTCGCTTTGCAAATATTTTAGCAAAATAGATTTATCCGACGCTTACCTTCAATTGGAAGTCGATGACGAATCCAAGAAAATTCTCACGATAAACACGCACAGAGGT